TCGAACCCAACTCCAATTTTTCATCACAGGTCTACCGATCTATCCATCTGTCTACACAAACCCCCCCCCCCCCCCTGTTGGATCGCCGGTAGCGAACGTTCGTAACTTCGTATCAACGTGCAACGCACGTGGCTTCCTGCAATTGCCAAACAACGGGTAAAAATGGTCCTTGATTTCTGTCTGTTCCCCCCAAAGTCCAGAGGGGAACTGATTCCTTCTATACGATTAGAACGAGTCACGTGTACTAGCTAGATAAGAGTGTTTACATCGAAGTTGGGCCTCCCTTAAGTGTATGTAACCCACGCTAAGCGAGGTAGGTAGGTAAGGTACGTATGCCCATCCGTGCCTGAGATACCGGTACCTACCCGAACCTAACATCTGACTCAACGACGTCGGGTCGATATTGATGTACTACCGACACCCCCCTTCCACTTACTTCTAAGCCTTCTTCCTTCCTTCGACCAAGATTGATTCTGCCATGCGATACTAAGAGACTTGCTACAAGACATACACACACACACACACACATACACATATATCACTATACTCCTTCTTCCACACACGCAACAAAAGACACGCAGAGGCCGCTCAAGAACACCTGCTCGAGGGGATAGATGAATAGATGCTATCTATCTATCTATCGACCACAGCAAATATGCAGTTCCCTACTCCTACTCCTACTCCTACTCCTACTCCTACTTACTACTACCACCACCCAATCCAGACAGACTCGCTGAAGAAGAGATAAAAAAAAATAAAAAATAAAATACACCTAAGAAAATAAGATGGATAAATAGATGATTTTCTTAATTCCATCATTTGATCCACCCACCTATCTATCTATTTCCCTCCCCGGAATAAAAAAAAAAAAAGGAAAGCCGCCCTACTGATACCCGCAAGTGTACCGCACCGCACAGCATATCCCGCCTCATCTTGTTCCAAATGCCATAGATTTTTTAAAAATATCCCTTTCTTTCCCTCTCTGTATTCAGGCCTCTGTATTTCTGGTAAGATTGAAAGGCAAGGCAAGGCAAGATGCGCGAAAAAAAAAAAAAAAAAAAAAAAAAGAACATCCTCAAAACGCAGAAATGATTTCCCTGGATAT